TTGTGTAACCGGTTAACAATTTATGTTAACCGGTAACGAGCCCGAGTTTTTTCTTTTTCTTGTATTTTAGTGATGTGTAAAGGTCCCAATCATTTTATAACACTTGTATAAATGCCTTGGTGGAATCCTTATCTTAGATTAATGCAATTAATGATTCTCATCCTTAATTATCTCTTTCTCTAATTCTCTCTTCTCCATCACTACCTTCTTTTCCACATACCTTAAACCTTTTATTGTTCACTAATTGAGTGATTGCATGTTCCAACATTTGGTATCAAGAGTCTGGTTTTGATCCATACACATCCATTGTGCAAACATGAATACCGCATCCAATGATAGAGTCCCTACAAACCTTTCTCTCCATGAAGCAAAGAACTACGACAAATGGTGCAAGAAAATGAAAGTGTTGTTTGGCTACCAATAAGTTCTTTAAGTGATCATAATGTTGTGAATCCTCTTGTCGAAGTTGCAACAGATTCACAGAAGGTTATGTTCAAGGAAGAAAACAAGAAAGATTACAAAGCGTTGTTTTTTATCCATCAATGTGTAGATGGTGACAACTTTGAGAAAGTGGGTGATTGTGAGTCATAGAAACAATCTTGGGAAATCTTGGAGATAGCTTATGTAGTGGTTGATAAGGAAAAGTTTGTGAGGTTACAAACTCACAAACGTCAATTTGAATGGATTCAAACAGAAGAAAAGGAGGCAATCAACAACTATGTGACGTGAATTACACGATTGGTGAATCAAATTAAGTATTGTGGAGAGATTGTTTCAGAGCAGAATGTTTTGTCAAAGATCTTGCATTCTTTGACGGTAAGATTTAACAACATCATAGTGGCAATAGAAGAGTCGAAGGATCTTGCGGAAAAAAAGCAAATATGAGTTTCAAAGCTCTTTTGAGGTTCATGAGCAAAAGATGGAAGAAATAAGTAACGACAAGGCAAAGGTGGAGATCAACTTGCAAGCTCGGTTCAATAAGAAGAATAAGAAGTCGAAAGGAAAATGGCTCATGAAGAGTAAAGAGAATTTTCATAATTTTAGAGGAAAAGAGTCTCAAAATTAGAATAATTCAGCTAAGCAAAAGGGTGAGAGCAGTTGCAACAAAAATCATGGTCAAAGCAACTTTAGAGGTGAAATCAAGAAGTAAGGCACAATACTTTAATTGTCAAAAGCTTGGTCATTTCGCAAGAGAATGAAATGTGAAGTAGAAGGAATCTCAAGGAAATGAAGCTAAGGTTTCTAGACAAGAGGTGGATGATGATAATACACTCTTGGTCATGATGATGCAAAGAGAATGCAGCAGCAACAAGGTGTCGGACAACAACAACAACAGTTCTATGAACGCTCCATAAACATTTGAAGAAGAAAATATTATGGTGACTGTGAGAGAGAGAGAGTCCAATGTAACAAAAAATGGTACTTGGATTTTGGTTGTTCTATGCATATGATGTGTAAGAAGCATTGGTTTGTAAATATCAATCAAGCCACGAAGAATAAAATGAAATTCATGAATGATATCACTTTAGAGGCCGATGGGATGGGTGATGTTTTGATCATGATAAGGGATAATGAACATTCCTTAATCAAATATGTATTGTACATTCTTATAATTAAATGTAATTTTTTAAGTATTGACTAATTTCTTGAGAAGGGTGACAAGATTCGCATGGAAGACATGACGTTGCATGTTATAGACAGAAACATGGTTTTGATCCTTAAAGCTCCTATAGTTGCCAAAAAACTTTCAATATTGAGTTAAAGGTGATGGAGCATAGATTTCTTTCTACAGCGACAAGTCAAGAAGAGTGGTTGTGGCACTACCGTCTTTGGCATCTTAATATTAGAGATCTCAATCCATTGCAAGGGAACATAATGGTAACCGTGTTTCCATCCATCAACATTCCATCTGAGATTTATGAAGAGTGTGTGTAAGTGAAGCAACAAAAGAGTAAATTCAGAAAGGATGCAGGTTATAGAACCAAGCATCACCTTGAGATGGTGCATTTTAAAGTGTATGGATCGATGCAAATTTATTTGTGTGGTGCCAATAGGTATTTTGTCACTTTTACCGATGATTTTAGTAGAAAGTTATGGACATACCTAATCAAGAGAAAGGATAAGGTATTTGAAGTGTTCAATAAGTTTAAGGCCATGGTTAAACAACAAAGCAGTCACAAGCTCAAAGTTCGCAAAACGGATGGTGGAGGTGAGTATGTCTCAAATGACTTTGGGAAGTTTTATGGTGAAGAAAGGATATTACATGAGGTAGTACCATCCTATACACCGCAGCAAAACGGTGTTATATAGACGAAAAATTGATCGATTATAAACATGGCGAGAAGCATGTTAAAGGGGGAGAACTTGCCAAAATAGTTATGGGGAGAAGCAGTATCCACAACTGCCTATTTCTTGAATAAGTATCCTACAAAGAAGCTTAAGAAGATAACATTGGAACAAGCATGGTTTAGATTCAAGCTGAATCAAAACCATTTGAGAGTTTTCGATTTTGTAGCGTATCGACATGTTCCGGGTCAACTTAGAAAGAAGTTGGATGACAAAGAGAATATGATGATACTTGTTGGGTATCACTCTACTGGAGGTTACAAGTTTTATTTTGAAAATAGGAGGATTGTGATCAGTCAAGACGTTGTCATCGATGAATTGAAGCAGGTTGAGCAGCATGTAACTGGTTACACTCAAAAGTTAATCAGTTACATGCAGGCATTAACTTGTTACGGGAAAACGTTAACTGGTTATACACATGATATTTTTGATTCTGGAGAAGCTGAAAATGCATAAGAGTAGTGTGTCGAAGCCAGAAGTGATGAAAATGTGAGACGACTAACTAGGCAAAGAGGTTTGCCTCAAAGACTCCAAGATGGTGAGATATTCCACGATAACAAAATCAATGATGATGGTGATTTCGTTCATTTTGAACTTATGACTGAATCTTAGCTTGTTAAGATAGAAGAGTCCTTGAGTGATCCAAAGTGGATTTGTGTAATGAAAGAAGAGTTGGAATCGATTGAAAAAACAATACTTGAGAGTTAGTTGATCTCCCGAAAGATAAGAAGCTAATTGATGTAAGACGAGTTTATAAGATGAAGACAAATCCTAAAAGTGAAATAATCAAGCATAAGGCTCGATTAGTTGCGAAATAATTTTTACAAAGAAAATGTATAGACTTTGATGAGATATTTGTACTGATTACTAGGATAGAAACCATAAGGCTAGTTATTGGTGTTGCAAATAGCAACAATTGGCCTATCTATCAAATGAATGTGGAATCTACATTTTTGAATGGTCTGCTTGAAGAAGAGGTGCATGTAGAACAGTCCCTTGGTTTTGTTGTTAAAAACCAAGAGGGATGATTCTACGATTTGATAAAAGCGTGATATGATTTGAAACAAGCTCCGAGAGCTTAGAATAAAAGGACATATGATTTCTTAGTTGGAGTTGACTTCAAGAAATATGTGTTTGAGCATGGAGTTTATGTGAAAACGAATAGAAGTGAAACTGTGTATTCTATATAAACGTGACAACAAGATGAGTATTTCTAAGTTCAAGAGTGAGCTTCTGAAAGAATTCGAGATGAGCGACGTTGGTATCATGACATACTTCCTTGACATAGAGTTCCATAAGTTCAAAAAGAAACTGCTTATGCATCAAAGGAGATAAGTCCTTGAGATATTGAAGAAGTGTGAGACAGAACATTGTAATGTTGCCATAACACCAGCTCAACCAATGTTGCAGTTGTCCAAGAATGAAGAGGAGCAGAACGTAGATCCTACTCAATATAGACGGTTGATTGGATAATTATGTTACTTGTGTAATACGCATTCAAATTTTGTGTTTAGTGTCGATATTGCGAGTAGATTCATGGAGACCGAAGATGTCTCGCTTAACAACAATCAATAGAATCTTAAGATACGTCAAAGGGTCTACTTACTGCAAAGTTCTCTTTTCCGCAGCAGATACAGGAAGAAAATGTAATTTGCTTGGTGTTACCAACTCCAATTAATGTAGAGACAATGATGATAGAAAATCTAAAGCAGGACACATCTTATGTTCGGTGAAACACCAATCTCATGGTGTTCGAAGAAGAAAACAGTAGTTGCACTCTCGTCTTGTGAGGTTGGATATATTGTCACTTCGTTATGTGTATCAAATAGTGCGACTAATGAATTTATTGAAAGAATTAGACATCAATGAGAGTGAGACTGTCACACTCTTAATTGATAATGTTCCAACCATTAATCTTATTAAAAATTCATTTGTATATGGAAGAAACAAACACATTGAGACGAAGAAAAACACTCATCTTCCTTCCTTCACACTAACACTTGCATTAGTAAGTAATTTGTAGCACTTCGTTTTCGGTCTTTTTATGTGATGACACAATTAAGAGTGATTAAGAGAACATTCCTAAAACTTAAATTTATCTTTTGCTGTCCAAGCTAATTAATTATTTAACTAGCTTATTCAACAGGTTCATGTTTAAAAACACTCAACTTGCTCCATTTTCATTTTTAAATTCAAACTTAATCTTATCAAATCGCATTCATTTTAGTAAGTCCCGCAATCCAACTTTGACTAGGCTATAGCAAGCCCGATAGTGCTCTACACCGATTCAAAGCATTTGAAAACCAATTGAACAAGTCAATAGACCGCGTTTATGTTTTATTATCTACAATTTCCTCAACTGTTTTGTTTATTTTGTTGGCAAATTTCTTAATTCAACTCAGGTATTTTTTAAACACCTCATAAAAATTTATAGAACAATATACGTTATACGTCCCAAATCGTATGCATAACATAACTTTTATAGATTTTATATTGTTCGACATCATATAGAATAGAACACCCCACTCACACACATATACATTTAAGCTCAACCATGCTAAAACCAGAAAACCTACCACCCAACATACTATGAATACAAACAGAAAACCCCACAACACATCAACATCTACCATACTAGTTAGACTATTGTATAATCAGTAGACTACTTGCTGACCTATGTTGCGGCCACCTACGACACGATCATTTACAGTTTTGTCAAACCTCAGAGATGATAGCAAAGTATCACGGCTAGTCAAAACTGCTTGGAAGAAACCATCTACTGCCTTTGCAAGAAGATCCATTCCTTGGGAAAGCTTCTCTGCAGCCGCGCCTAGTTCCTCAACAGTCTTCAGATGTGATTCTTGCTCAACTTTGTCTTCGGTATTTACACCGCCTTGGATGGATGGACATAATTCCTGCACAACAGCATCAACCGCTTCCATCTCGTTCAATACAGAAAATTTCCCACTGGAAAACCTATCTCTAATTTCCTCATTTACAAGATTCTGCAAACTTCTGAAAGCTGGAGCCCATGAATGCATCTCGGGCACATCCAAATCTAACAACTTCTTTGAAGTGCCAGAGAATGCTGCCGAAAACACGCTGCAAACAAATACAGTCTCCACCTTGACTCCATACATAGCTTGCATCAAAACCTTACCTTTGGCAGAGTTTTTAACCTTAGGAAGATCAAGTGATCCCACAAGACTATCTAAAATGGTGCTACATTTCTCAATTCTAGGGTTCTTAGCATTAATGTGATGCCTCCAATCACCGAGCAAAGAACAGGCCCGAGGAAACGACTTTGATGAGGCTGGTTCTAAAATGTGTAGGGCACACTTAAGCGGTAGATTGCCTTGATTCAGTCGTGAAAGCTCGGAACTAAATGCGTTGCAAATGTCTAGTAACTTTGTACTTATGTCAAAGTAGACATCAACCCACTTGTCATCCCAAACACTCACGGGCAGCTCAAGATCTGTTATAATGGTTCGTATGTCATTATGGGATTCACAAAGTGAATTCATAGCCGAAGTCATCCAAGGCAAGCTGAGGATTTCATCCTTGCTTTTGGGCATAAGTTTCCTTAGCCTCTCTGCTAATGTTGCCTCGAAACCTTGTAGTACTGCATGTAACTTAGGAGATGTGAGAGAACCTTTATGTGACTTCATCCGGAAAGGATTTCCAAACAGGGAGAAAGATCGGGTCGAGTGTGGATGACTCATTTACTGCATCAGCAAGAATGGAATGTAAGATATCTTATAAATGCAAAATTCACAAAAAAACACAGATTATAGTAAATCATCACAAAATGCACAGGTCACAATGAAATATGAGTGCAACAAACTCAAGTTATAACTAAAAATCGACACATCCAAACCAAACTTGTATAAGATAGTTCTTAACCTGGTTTCAATAAAATCCAAATAAAGAAGAAAATATACCAAAACCAAATTGATAGTGGATGGAAACCAGTTCTCATATCATGTTCCATTTGTCACCAATAACCGGTTCACTAGAGCATACAGACACATGATTCCTTTGTACAAGCTAATTTCCATTTCCCAAACTAAAAATCCAATCTAAAATTGGTTATCTATGAAACACAAACACTAACAGGTAATAATTTGAAAAATAAATAAATTAAACATAATCACAGACACCGACACAAATACACCTTTTTTTTTCCAGAAGATTCGGTGCAGTACAGAGTTGGTTTGTCATAAGATTAAAACAAGTTAGGTGTGGTTTTTGATAACCATATTCTCGGCAGTTTATTTCAATTCAGTTCGGTTTTTCTTAAAAACTGAAACTCAAAACCCTTGAATATCCACAACACAATCATAAATCAGCCACTTCAGGAACCATAAACAAGCATCTAACATAAATTCAAAAGAGAAACAACAACAACAACAACAACAACAACAAGTAAAACATTAGATCCATAAAAAAATAACCGTTGACCTTCAATTTTACCATACTCATATTCAGATCTAAAACAAAAACTTCAAAAAATTTAAACAACAACACTCAAATTCAAGCATAGAATCATAAAATTAAAATAAACAAAAAACATATATGAAAAAAATTATTCAACAAAACCAAACAAAAAATAAATAAGTAAGTCAAATCGTTCATCTTCAATCTTATGAAATATTATGAAATACAGTTAGATCGTCGAATAACAAACCGATTCAACCGAACAAATTCAACTATCATCAAATTAATTCACAAAAACACATAACAAAAAGGTTAAACAATTTCAGATATTTTGAATCAACAAAAAACAAGAGTTTCTTAATTTGCAGAAAATATATAATCAAAAATCAAAGAGTAGAAGTTTTTTACCAGAGATGAGAAAATCGAAGGAGAAAATTGAAAAGTTTGGGAGAGAATCAAAGAAGTTTTCGTTTCTGTGAAGCGTTCAGATTATGTGGTGGGTGAGAAGTTCTTGGTTTGTTGTAGAAAGATAGGAAAGGGGGTTTTGATAAATCTACCGTAGTTGTTGGAATTTTAGGTTACGGGAGGACACGTGGAGGTATTTTATTGGGTTGTTATGAAATTATGTACCATCGTTGTATTTCTATAAATAAAAAATTGTCTACTCGTTTATTATATGAGGCTGGCATCATTTCCTAGAAGTTTCGTTTTTCTGATTTTTGTTTTCTTTTTCAAACGACTTGTTATTTTACGCGGATTATTTGTTAATGATAAGAATAAAAATTGAACTTTTCATTTGGAAAATAAAGTAGGCTTAAAAGCCAAACAAAAACCAAATATTACTCTACATTAAGTAGAAATAATCTTTAACCATTTTTTACAGGGGTTGCTAAGAAGCGACGAATATTAGTTGGGTGAAATGGAAGATGGTGTGTGGGTCGATTGAAGAAGGCAGGTTGGAGACTATAAATTTGAGGGTGTTTAATATTGTATTGTTAAGAAAATGAAAGTGGAAAGTTAAATTTAAAGAAAAGATATATGGTATGATGTTTTGTTTAACAAATATGTTTTGATTAACGTGATTCTGAATTCGGAGAAGGGTGAAGTCTTAAGATGGTGGAAGGATATATTTCAAATAAAGTTAGGCGGTGGTGGAAATTTATTTTAGTATTTGATAAAAAATATGCACAAGAGATTATTGTCGGTCGACCGACCACATTCAAATCACTATTGATTGAAGCTTTGGAATGACGCAATACTCTCAAAAGTGTCTTGGTTGGTTTCCAAAGTAGAATTTCAACAAAAGATAATTTAGATATAAGAGGAGACATATCTCACAATCAAGGAAGGTGTGTAAGTGGGTGTGAGGGAGAAGAGTAAGGTATCTCACATTTTCTTACATTTTCTTTGAGTGTTCAATTTTTACAAGTATACTGAGGTCTATGTGTAATTGGCTTGGAGTGAGTTCTCAATATTTGGAGATATTCGAAAGTCTGCTTAAGAGAGAAAATTTGTTATCGTCAGAATGACGGTGATTTGGTTCGTTTGTATTTGGAGCATTTGGAAATTTAAGAACCATAAAGCATTCCAAAACAAGGAAATTTAAATAGAAAACTTGTCTGGAGAGACAAAAATGTTGGCATAAAGGTGGTTGAAGATTAAATCAAATTTAATATTAGATGACATCCATGTGGATCCTGAATCCTAAGGTGTGTATCAGCATCACAAATTATTGAGTCCATCGTTCTCTCTGTGTTGTTTCAAATCTGGCAAGTAATCACAATGGTCAGGATTTTTGAAATTAGATATGTTGTCAATGTTGAGTTATTTGCGCTTTATAGCCATATTTTTAAATTTGAGGAATCGATTATGTCAACGATGTTGCAATTATTTGTTGTTCTGATTGTAGTCATGTTGAAGATGTTTTTATGTTTTTTTCATAGATAGTTTTCCTCTTTCTGATTCAAGAGTTGGTTCAGTGCTGAGAGATTTATGTTATCAAATTATTAGTGTCGGTGTTAATTTAACTTATTAGATTTTGTTAGGTTAAGTGACAGTTTTTAGGGCTAGGTGTTCATTTTGTTAGTTTAGGTGTCGGGTTCAGGTTTTTGTAAAGACAATGAAGTTTTCTGTGTGTTTCTTAAGTCTTGGTAGGGTGGTGTAAGTATTTCGAAGTTTGATCGGATATGGTGGAGAAATTGTCTCCTTTTAATAATATGTTGTAATATAATTTTTAAGACGTTTTTTATGCTTATTACTTTCTCTAGTCCTTTTTATAAGAGACACTTTACATTTTTAGATTAATTGAATAATTAATGTATATAGTCTGTAAGACATACTAGATACATTAATTATTCAATAAATCTGAAAAAGTGAAATGTATCTGATCTGACCTGATCAGACTTGAACCGTCACGGCTGGCTCCGAGCTGAAAGTTTTGAACGAGGTGGGGGGGGGGGTACCTGCAAGACACTCTGATGCTGAAGTAAGTAAGAGCACGAGCAGGCAATAGTAAGTATGGGTAGAATGATGAATACCCGACCCTCTGGAAACAGAGGGTATTTATAGCCCCCAGCGATGGGCCAAGGTTCCTTCATTGGGTCGGGCAGGTTTGGCCCAATGGAGGAACTGCCAGGTTCTACGTGCGTTGTGGGGACCCGCACGTGGTCCCCTCCCTGGATGTTCTGCGTGAAGTGCGGGCGGACAGAGACGCGGTCTTTTCGGGGTCTCGTTGGAAGTGCAGTGGACTGAGTCTGCCCTAGTTGGGGTGCTCGAGGTGATGTCAAGCTGGACAGTAGGATGTCGAGCTGGACAGTTGGAGGTCGAGCAAGCAACCTCAGGGAGCACGTCGGGCATGACTGTGACCCTTTGGTCGGCGTGGCCCTCAGCAAGTCCGTTTGGATTGGGCCTTATTAATGCTATTGGGCATGTCGGGCCTGGTCCAGAACAGAAGCCCCCCAAGTCGTGGTTCCTTGGGTTAGGAGCCATGGCTTGATCTTAGGTTGTTTCCGTTTCGGGGTCTCGCGCCCGGGTCAGAGGTGCAGCTCCTCGAGGGCTTCTTCGTGTCGTGCTCGGAGACAAATCCTTCACGGTGGATGCTCGGGGATTCTTCACTGGCGCGCGTCTGTCGAGCATACGAGGTATCTTTCGGGAACTGTGCCGCCACCCTATGATGATAGGGTCATCATTGCCTTGGGAGCCGTGCGTCGAGGAGAGAAACTTCGTGGTTGCCCGAGGTGACGTTTGGTATTCCACATCATCACTATAAATAGGATCCTTGGGCCCCATAACGCGTTACTACTCTTTGCGCTCCTACTGCTGTTGTTCTTCCATATTTTCATAGCATAGTTGCGATCTCCGTCACAGATTCTTTTCCTCCGTTGCCGAATCCACTCCTTGATTCCAAGTAAGTGACTTATCTTCTTTGTTTTCCTGTTGTGATGCATGATTTTCATCGTTGTAGACATTTTAGGGACTGTGCGCGTGGGACTAGCCCGGTAAATTCATGTTTAGCTCCACAAATTCATGCTTAGGACCGGCAAACACATGCTCGTGGCCGGTAGATACATAGTTTAGGTTATAATCTGCAGTGCTGCCCGGGGTCTTCATGATCCAGGGCGCCTGATTCATGATCGTGCCCGGTATGTTCATGGCTCTGGCTGTAGGTTTTATGATGTTGCTCGCCATGTTCATACCTTGGGTCGGCATATTCGTGAGTGACCGCGTTGTCGGTTTTCTTAGGCGGCTTGGAGAAGGTCTCATCGAGTTATCCGGACGTCGGGGAGGCGACTGCTATTTTGTTGCAAACTAACTTTATGGTCGTGCATGGAGCGACGTGGTTTATCGCACACTACATCTGGTCCGTTACGTCGAGCGTATGGTTTCGTGCCCAATTGACTGGTTTCCCGTGCTCTGCAGGTAACCATGGCGGACGAGCCGTGCTCTTCTGGACGCCTCGAACGGGAGGAACAAAGTGCCGATGAGGCGGTGAGTTTGATCGACACTGTCGACGACCCTCTGTTGGATTGGGTGGGCGCCGAGCCCAGAGGAATCGCGTCGATCTATAGCCGACGTAACCGAAAGCCATATGTTGTCCTTGAGGCGGGCCACGGTCAGCCTGATTTTCAAAAGAATTTCGTTGTTACGCGACCGACCTCCACTGCCCGGATCTGCTCGGTGTACCCCGAGTATAGTTTCCCCATGTACGAAATTGCGTTCAAAGATCTTGGGCTGCAGCTGCCCTTCAGTGACTTTCAGGCCGGGGTCTTCGCCCATCTGGGGCTGG